CATGCTAGTAGCCATTTATTTTACTCTCGTATATTTTGAGTGTGTTGTTAATTGGTTTTTAGGTAGTATCTGCGAATAAGGAAACCATAGTGTTTATGAAATCAGTTAAATACAAAGGATCGCTGTTCATGAAAGTCACGACAAAATAGTAACAAAGACAACTGAGTACCACAATGTTTCTGTGGTATCGCGATGCTTTTGCCCTGTCTTTTTTTACAGGAGATACGAAAGATAAATCATTTGAGCAACATTCACCAGTGTTTCATCTTCACGTGCATTGATAGTTAAAATTATACCTACAATTCTTAAGTCAATGTTTTGGAAAAATTTATTCAAGTGAAGTTTTTGAGTTTCGCTTTTAAACTATTGTCTTATTTATTTTTCACACTCTTTCTACTAGCATGTTTGAAAATCTGTCCATAATATCTCACTACAGAGACATTCTTGTCTTTTCAAATATTTGAAGTAAGAGTTGTTTGCATAATTTTAATCATCACAGCATCTTAATTCTTCAGTGAATTTCTACAATTCTGCGATCATACTAATATTGCTGGAGTTCGCAGGCGCATTTTGTGTTATATTCTCTGCTTTGTTGTCAGCGTTTTCGATATAACTTTAGCGAGGTGGGGGAAGTTTATAGACTAACTTTAAAAAGTTAGCTGATAACCAAAAACGAAAAAGGCTTTTAACTTTTCGGAGGAATTTTTATTTTAGTAGGAGTAAATTTTTTAAAATGAAGGGAGTCATTTTTTTCAAATAAGATGGGGGGCCACCTAATCGAAAACGCTGTTTGTTGTTGACGATGTTGAGGTCATTTTTGCAAAAAAAAAATCTTTCGATTTATTTTGTGTTGGAAAGTCATCAGTTTTTCATTTTTCGAAAAAAAAATGTTGTGAAAAATGAATTCTATAGAGCCCTATTACAGTTCCACGGTCAAGTTTTTTACGTTTGTAATCCTTGTCCAGAAAGTGTTCCTCTTACTGCTTTAATAGTAATTGACTATGCTTTGTTTTAAAAAGATGATATGTTTGTTTCTACGATTCGATAAATTTTTATACCAAAAAACTTATGAAAGACATACCAAAACTTTATTCTTGTTAATAAACTATACTTTATTTCAGTTCCCTTTCATTTAAATTGAAGGGAAATGTCAATTCATTCAAATTTTATAAGCTAGTTTCTTCGATGAAAAGCTCAATGAGATTACAAGACTGATATAAAATGTTTCGAATTATTTTTTTTATATACCCACTAACTTGAAGGAATAACGACTAATTTTTTTGACATCTTATTAGATATCGTTTTTAGATCATCAAAAGTCATTATAAATTTTTTTATTGAGTAATTGATTAACATATTGATTTATATGAAACACATACACACACATATTGTCTCGTGTTATGAGTTAGTTATATATCTTCTAGATTTTTAAACCTGAAATTGTATTGTAGAAACAAAAACACGAAGATCCCTAGATGTATTCATGTATGCCAAGTATGTAATTTGATCGTCATATATGTATATAAAGTAACTTATGCAATGATAATAATATATGTATAGATATTTTTTATATACAGTTTGATATTGATACAGATGTAATCATGATTTGTTCATTTCTTCTTTCTTTATCGTTCGTCGTCAGCTAGTAAGTGTCTACTTGAATTGAATAGTAGCTACTTCTTACGCTTGAGAAAATTTTCGTTGAAGTACAACCAAATATAAATATATCTAATTAATTAATCGATAGCCTATTCCATACAGTTCAAGTAGTGTTTACTGATTTCTCTTTTTTTTGATCTACTGATATTTGTTCCTGTTTTTAAAAGCGATTCTAATGATCTTAACAATATGATCTGAACATTTTATTTCTCACGTCTGTACCTGTTAAGATTAATTAAGAGAGTTACTATATTCCTTTATTGCTGTTCGCACGATTATGAACGACTTTCGCTGTACAACTAAATCTCTGTTCGTTGATCGAAAATATCGTGATTGTAAACAAAAAAGTAGGCGGCAAGCAATTAACTACGGTTTTATGAGAATACTTTGTATTCCCATGTAATTTCATTCTATTTTATATTCATTCCTGAATTTGGACAATGGGTTTCACTCAAATGAGAGGAAGAAAAGGGTTGCGTCTACATTGACGGATAAGAATATTTCCTCTTTTTTTATTTTAGAAAAATATGTTAATCTTTATTTTGTCTATATTATCTTATACATTTTTTTTTTGCTTTTATATACAAATATTAGTTTAAAACAAAGGCCATAATAAAATATTAGTTTTTCAATATCAAATCGTACACGATTAGATTTAAGATATTTTGAAATCATATTTTTGTTATCAATAATACATTTTGTTCTTTTGTTCTATGTTTCCGTTCTGACATATTTGGCTCGATATATTATCGTTCGTCGTACGAAGTAGAGTACAATTTCTTATATATATTTTTTTTCATTTCTTAACGTGACCGTTGATGGCCGATTTGACTCTATTACAACAGAACTATCCATCAAAATATTCGAGGTTTTTTGTCTGATAGGAACAAAAAAAAAAGAAAAAAATATATGTGATGGTCAGAAAAAGAGAAAAACGTTCATTGCATCTTCTATATTAGTAAATGATTTTAGTTCTCGTGTTGAAAACAGAAGAAAAAAAAATGTACAAACTTCTGTCTGTATGTGTGAGTAAAGAGAACAGCGCATGCTCTCTCCCTCCTACAAAACGACGAATGTTGTGTATACGTATTACGTAAAATACCGAATAGACAAAATAGTAATAGAGGATAAATTGCTGTTGTTAGCTTATGTATGAAATTATTCTATTAAGGTATAGAAGTAAGATGAAAATGACTTTATACTTTTTATAATTCTCTATTTAAACACCGTTAGAAAGCTTAGAGTGTTCTTGCTTTGCACTTATTGAACTTCAACAATTTGGTTTAGTAAAAAAACAGCAGGGACAATGAGATGACACTAAAGCTATTAGGAGGACGGACTATATCCTTAAGAAGTTAAATAAAACAGTAACTTTAACATTTTATCAATTCTTTATAAAAAGTCGGGCTCTTCTCCTCCTCAACTCACTTAGAAGTTTGACTAACTGTAGACAAATTTCGAATGTTGTACGCAAGTTGCTCAAACTCCTAGAGCGGAACTAATAGTCTATCGAAATAGGCCCTAACTGACCTGGAATTGTTTGATTTTGAAAAAACTGATGTTGTAAGAGAATTTGTTTTATCGTTCATTGATTTTATTTTATTGTTTATCTCCTCTTCTACTGTTCAAACAACAACTTGAACTTGACATTGTGCGATAATAAAATGTTGCCTGCAGCTTCTATTGTCCACAACACAGTCAAAATTTTAAATTTTTTTTTTTTTTATACAGCAAACTGATGCTTGTATTGTAAGCTAATCTAATAAGAAAAAAATATCAAATTTCTTTTTTCTATCGTCGCATTTGAACTGAAAACAATTGACGACATGCCAATCAGTCTAAAGATATTGATATGTAGTGACGTTCAATTCTTAATCTTTCTTTCTTTGTTCACAATCTACACTTTATTATTGCGGTCACTTATTTAGTTTTTTCTTCTTACGTATATATTGTTTTTTATATAAGAACATTATTTGAAGTTTCTCTCTTTTCCACTTCTTTGAACAAATTATTTTATATTTATATAAAGAGAAAGAGGTATACAATACATGTCGTTAAAAAAAAAACATCTTATATTTTTGAACTCATTTTCAAATAAAAATGTTGAAAAAACTAGCAGTTAAGAAACAATGTCTGACATTTTTATCGACAAGTTACAAAGCAAAGTATTCTTATTTTGAACATATATGTATATTCAACAGACGTGTGGGTTGATGTTCAATCGATTCAAATTTGGTAAGAATCTTTTTTTTTCAAATTATGTAAAATATCAAAATTTTCTAACTATGACTATATTAAAATAAGCAGACCTTTCTTTTCTATAGTATGACCTACTTCTATTGTTTATTTTAAAAGTAGGCATATTCTCAGCCTTCACCTGAATGTTATCGATCTGAACAAGACAAATTTTCGAAATTTTTTTATTCTCAGTGTAAGATTATTTCATATAATTAGATTCCTTTGTCTTCTTTCCCCTCGCTCTTTCTCTATCATGTTTTATTGTAACCAAAATTTTGATATGTAAATAAGAAATATTCTTTTTCCCTGTTCTTTTTGAATTACACGTAATAATAATAAGAGTATGTAATTTTCTACCTCGAATCGATAACACTTAAGATCTTATTTGAACAATGTATGATATCTGTTGTTTTATTTTGTCTATTTTTTTACAATTTTTGGATAGAAATCTTTTCCGGTGGTGAATAGTTCTGAACCAATTATAGATGAATTTTGAACAAACATGAATATTTTTTTGAGCAATTTACAATAATCTTTTTTCTATTTTTATAGGAATAGCAATGTATTTACATAAGGAAACAAAAAGAAAAGAAGAAGAATAATAATAGACGCATCGCTAAGAATTATATGAATTATAAAATTGCGGTTGTTATTCGTTTATTTTTTATGACAGATTTTTATAAACAGAAGAATCAAAATTTCCTGTATATATATTTTCTATAAATCACACATTATGACCATGGTTTAAATTAGAATTTTGTCAGATAATCAGAAAAATAGAGAGACAAAGTTAAAGAGTGCATCTTTATTAGAATAAAGTAAGAATGTTGATACAAACTATATATTTCCTTTCTCTTATGAATGATTACAGTAAAAAGTACAATTATTTTCACGTCTTGTTGTAATTTAATTTTATTACCGATTCAAATGCCACACTTACACAGACTCAAAAATCTTGTCATAGCACACATCTATAATCTAGATGAATGAAAATAAATAAGCAAATATATCTGCTCAGAAAAAGATAATAATGAGTCTTGTTTAATGATGTTCTCTCTTGTTTTAGATTTCTATTCTATCTACTTTTTTGTTCATAATGTGTTATGATGTATCCATTATTTCAAAATAATATTGTTGTTCATTTAATCACTTTCAAACTAACAAATACAATTAGTTCATTTTTATCGTCATTTTTCGATCAAAAAAATAATTTATTATTATTAATCATCATTTATCTTGTTTTTGGTGGAGAATGTGTTTATGGTCAAGCATTGAATGATCGAATTATCTATGTTAAAAAAGGCGATACTCTTGAAATATGTGATAATCGTACAACATCGATTTATGCTTATGAATATAAAAGTTTAGATAGTAAAAAAAGTTTAATTATTGAACCAGAGAAAAATGTACGTTATACAAATCCATATAAAACAAGTCTATTACAAATACACAATGTAATCGAAGATGATACCGGTTATTATAAATGTCCAGAAGATGATATGGAATGGAAGCACGTAGAAGTCTATAGTAAGTAATAGGAGTAGCAACAGCAGCAGCAGCAATCTCGTCTTTACAAATGTCATACAATCAGAACTCAAGTAATTGACATTATTTATGTTTTCAGCTATATCTATCGTACTAGTTACGAAGATAGAGAGAAAGAGAGAGAGAGAGAAAAAGGAGTTTGTGTGTATGACATGCCATATCCTCATCTACAACACTTTTTTCCTTCTTTTTTCTTTTTCTATTCTTATTGTTCGTCTTTTATGATCCATTATTTCAATTATATGCCTTTAAACTGAGAAAGAGAACAAATGTATGTTCTGTTTCGCTAGTACTATTATAATGACAATGATTATTGAAAAAAGCAAGGATTGCATACATATTTCTGATATGAAAGGAAAATGTAATTGCTTGAAGATATTTTAGAAGATATAATTATAATTCAAACTGCTAGGATGAGAGAAAGAATTATAGAATTATTTAATTAAGAATTATTTTGCGTATCTGTTTTTCAACAAGTATCAGGAACGAATAAAGAAATAACAGTACCTAATTCAAATTAGAAATACTGCTGCTAGACATCCGTTGACTTATAGACTTGTATGAGCAATTAGTATGTTAGTATTGATTGAGCTTTAAAAGTTGAACACATGTACATTACAAGATAAACATTTTAAATATTTACAATTTGTCAATATACAAGTCAAACCAATAAGCTTTTCATTTTTCTTTTCTCTTCCCTTCGATGATTTATTGCGTGTTTTGTATTACATAACTTATTATTATCGTAATGGTACAAAGGGGGAATTTTGTTAACGATAACATTGTACACTTTTCTCTTTAATAACTTCAAAAAAAGAAAACGTGAATAAGAAAATTTTCGTTATTTTTCATCTTATCAGAAAGAAAAGAGGGTTACGACCTTTATATTTTTTCCTCTATATATCATTTATAATTTATGAGAAATTTATTCTTAATTACTCAATAAAAGCGTGCTCATAAACATAGTAGACAAATGTTCAAGAATGAATCTATTCGTGTTAACAAAAACGAAAAGTTTAGCTTGACAGGTTTAGCTGCATTATTGTACCTGTAATAAACCATTCTCTTTTACTTATCTATACACTAGAAAGCTTAAAATCGAATACTGACTCGCGAAAATTAACGAAATCCAAGACTCACTTGCACTATGTATGATCAAAATACAAAACTTCTGCCATTATTTTTCAATAAACCTTTGATGGTACTATGAGTCAAATCGGTCGGTCGTCACCACAAATCATTTTAAAAACCTTTCAGAGTCTATATGATGCTGTTGTTGTTGAAATATAACGAAAATAACATGTGGAAAACAGAGACCAATTCAGTCCAATAACGTTTGACCTAATTTAAAACTCCTATTTGTTTCATGATTTTTGCTTTCATTAATTATAAAATTTCTCATATTCGGATTTATACTACAAATTAGAAATCTTGTTTAGAGATTTTCGAAATATTACTACAATTTTAACATAGAATTTTAATTTTTACTTCCTATTTTCACTTGTTTTCATGATAAAGTCAAAACATAATGACAATGATTTACGTTTATTCTTTCATAGGGTACATAGCTATTTCAATTTTTATGATCCATTCGAAAACCAAAAGAAATGTTTTCCTATCTCAATTCGTTCCTATTTGCCCCGTTCCTTTCTTTAGTACTAGAATGTTATCGCATTCAAATCAGAAGTATTTTACAGGAAAACGATGGATTGTTTTTGAAAGTTCATCTTATAGTGTAATGATTATCATTTTCTTCTCTCTCATTTGCTGTCTGAGCGTTGATCTTTAACAAACGTCTAATATCGTTCAAACACATCCATATTCTGCTATATCAGTAAATGTTGAATTTATCTGTCATTTTTCTTCAAAGGCAATGCAGTTCTTACTACTAACTGTTGATTTTATCATAAACACTTTTTTTCTCTCTGTTTTATCTCTTTTCTAAGACATCAAAAATCTTGATGAAAAACAATTGACAAATCTTTTTATTATATCATTCAACGTTTTACATATCGACATATGAACTTAAAACGCATTAAACGTTGAGTGATGCGATTCCTTTTCCAATTTGATCTCTGAATATGAGACACTGAATATTAAACAATTAACTTACCTTTTCTCTTGTTGTAAAGTCGAGAGTATGAAAAGTTAATAAACAAGCGAACTTTCTGTGACCAACTTTTAGTTAGAGAGCTCAATTGAAAGAGTATTGTATTGTAATTGTAGAAGATGTTGAACATTTTTATTTATATTGAAGATGGAATAGAAACTTTCTGATAGTCAGTACTACTCTCTAATCTTGAAAACACCATATTTTAAATTTTAATGAGTTTCTCTCTCTAACCTCTATTTTAGTCTACAGATAACATAATAAGCATCTCGCATTCTTTCTTTTTAGTTCCAATCAAACATGTATCTTTAGCAAATTTACATCCATTAAAAGCACGTGAAACAACCAATTGTCCCAATTGTTTAACGGTGGTTGATGATGAAAGTTTAGATGTATATTGTGGGGCTGATGGTTATCCCAAACCCGAAATCGATGTTTATTTGGATAAAAATGGTACATCACGTTTGATATCATCTATTGCTGGTGGTAAAAAGCCTGATACAATTAATGAATTATTCAAACCATCATCATATGAAGCTTACCGTATTCAACAATTAACACCAGAAGATAATGGACGTTGGATAACGTGTGAAGCAGATCTGACAAAAGCCGATAAAACAATGAAGAAAAAAGTTTCAAAACAATTATATATTGAATGTAAGCTCAAATGACATGTCTCTAAACTCATAGTAAAATCTTTCTTTTTTTAGTTCGTCCTGTTTGTGCTGAAAAATCAAAAAAGATTAATAGCGGAATAAATCAAACTCGGACAGTTAATTGTACAGTATTACGTGCTAATCCACCTTATATAACGTACGAGATATCGAATAGTTTATCAAATTCCATTATACGCCGAATCAGTAGTGATCAAAATGATAATCTCTATTATATATTTGAAATAACACCTACAAATATTGAACAATTTCGTCCATTCAATGTTACAGCTAGAAATTCAGTTGGTTTTGACACTTGTACTTATGAATTGATTCATGGTGGTGAGTAACATGATTTTTTTTGTCCCTGATATTTCTATACTATGATTTATTTGTATATGTGTACTATAGGTGTCCCTGATGCCATAACAAATTGTTCCATCGAAGTTCAATTTAACGTTACAATTCAAATAAAATGTCAGAAAAGTTATGCTCAGGGTGATAATGATGGTTATACGTGCGTGTTGTTTAAATATAAACCAAATGAAGCACAATTATTTGAAGAAATAGCACGATCAAAAAGTTGTATATTTGCCTTCGATTATTTTTTTAATTCGGCTGAATATCGTGTGTCAGCTTTCAATAAGTACGGTACATTACCTGTTAGTACATATGGTTATCCGGTTTATGTGAATAGACGAGAAGGTGGGTCTGAATTGAAAGTACTTAAAACATAGAAATACACATTTTCTTTTACTTGTTTAGCACCTAAACAATCATCATTTTTTAGTATAAAAGCTGTTATTATTATCTCAAGTGTCATTGGTGGAATTATATTATTGTTGATTTTATGTTGCTGTTGTTGTGGAAATAGATTAAAGTCAAAAGATCGAAAATATCAAGGCAGTAAGTGTATGCTTTCATGAAGCAACTTGATTTAACACAGGTGTGCGCTTCATGGCTTAATCATCCCCAACTCCGTTTACAAATGTGCAGAAAAATGCTTTTGCTATAATCTTAAAAGTTGTAGAAAGTGCTAATATCATGTACAAGATTTAATTGTGGTTAGCATTTTATTGTCCTCTTGAATGAGATACTTGAGTTATCCCATTTGAATTGTTTACTTTTTTCGCTCACTACTATTTATAGAATCTACTGTAGTTTTATTGGAAACTAAAGAAAAAGTGATTGTGGAAGAAAATCCTCCCGAACCATATGCGTATGTTATTCAGAATTAAAAATGACTATCTTTTACAGACGATATACAATAGTTGAAAAATGTTTATGTTTCGGCTTTTTTTTGTTGCATGTTAATTTTTTGCTTTTTTTGTCGATCTCCACAAACAACAAAGCTAACTTTTATTCTGAAATTGCATGGCTGCTCTCAATTACCATACTATACCATTTTACACACCATTTATATTTCTTGTGTTTTTATAGAATATCCGCGCTCGTCATCGGAGAGCGAACCCATGAAGCCAAATTCTGGTAAGACTAGAACGCTAACGTTACTGACTCTGTTTTTCTAACCCAACATAGTATTTACTTATACCTTTAGTAGTAGCCATAGTTTGATTTTTTCCATTAAAATTGCTGCGTGTTTATTCTTAGAGATATTTATAAAAAAAATCATTTTACTCTACAAAATCTTGTTAACTTGGCTTGTTTTTGATTTAGATGATTCAATTTCTACTTCTCATTTAACGCAAAATGGAACGGACAAACGTTTACATCCGGTACGATTACTTTTTTCTTTTTTTTCTTTAGAAAAAGTTACACCAGGCTTCTTCTTTCTAATTTAGAATGGCTCTGCTGTTTATGATGTGCCCGGTTTGATAGCAAAAGATACACTGACGTTACAACAAACACCCTCTACATCTATTGGGCATTATCATCAACAGCAAAATGGAAATATTCACTATATTGATAACGATTCATTGAATAGTAGTCTCAATTCATTACCTACACGTACACGTACATTTGCAAATAAAGTCTATTCAATGAACGAAGGAATTGACAATAAATATGGACCGTTGTCAGAAGATTACGGTCGTCCTGAAGAAATACTTGAAGTTGACGAAGATTCACCCGTTTATTCGACAACAACTGATATTATGTCTGAAAGTGGTAGTTTTTTAGTACCCTCATCCTCATCAAAAAAACGTGCTCCACCTCCTCCAAAGCCGCGATATTCCACACTACGTAGTGTAAGAAGTAATTCATCATCGATGATGAATAATAATCCTAATAATCTAACAGACGATAAAACATTACCATTACCAAAACCACGCTCGCGTTCAAATTCTCGCACACGTTTAAATGGTGGTAATGATACACCGAATTCGTCTTTTTATGATGAACGTCCGATATCGTCTAGTGACTCTGGTGTTTGTGACGTTGTATGTTTGCCAAATGGTGACACTATTCGATCTGGACTCGTACGCTCCAGACAACAAAATCTACAAAAACATTATACAGCGTCCCACTTTCAACAAATTCCACAACCATCATCACAAAAAACACTACCCAATCACAATACTGTTCCTTCTTCATTTAATCATCAATCATTAATTTCACCTATTGTACGTGGTACAGAATGTTGATGTTTTTGTGTCCGTGGTTTATTTTCTTAATGCTATCATAACGTCCATATCATTTCTGTTTAGTCTGTATATAGAGTTTCTTTTTGTTTGTTTACTTGAGAAGAATACTTCTGTGCAAATTCTGTTTTACGTGAACAAAAAGGTCTGTTTTAGACAGAATTTGTGCTAATATTTGTCGTTTTTATTATTAACTCGTACAGTATTTACTTTTTTGCTTCTAGTTGTTATATCACTCTGTATAGATTAGAGTAACCGAACTTTTTTCGCTTTTTTCTCAAAAAAATACAAACTGAATGGATCAACGCAGATCTTTCTGACAGCAATGCAAAAACAACTACTAATCAAAAATATTCTCGTTTTCTTTATTTTCATTAGCAGATTGTTATTCTTCTTCGTGTTTTTTCCTTTGCGCCTGAATGTGTTGTTTTATTTTATGGTTTTGTTGTTAAATGAGCTGTTTATACAACCACTACTCTTGTTTATTTGTTTCTTCGTTTTTATTATGCATAGACTTTGTTTGTTTCTCTGTGTGACTATTCTAAAAAACTTTTTTATTTGCAAAAAAAAACGAATAAAGTGGCTGAGCATGTTACAAAGTAAACACATGTTGTTAATAAAAGGTTTATCCTTAATTGAAAGGTTGCATAATGCGTCGGAAAAATCCTACTAACATCCAGAGAAACGTTGTTGAAATTGATTTATATGGTCAGGACAAGGTTGTTACAATAACAGTTGGTTTTTTCATATGTAGTGGGCATCATATACTCCTTTTGAGCGTAAAAATTAACGTAGTGGCGAGATAGTCGGAAGTTATATAACTGAATGTCTATTAGAGGTGGGATCAGTTCGGTTTAAACAACTATTTTTCGAAGGATTTGTTAAAATAAAAAGATTTTGATAAAAAATATTATTTTTTATTGGCAAATTTGTCGAATCATAGTCTTCGCCCTTTCTAATATTGTTGTTTTCAACATTGTGTTCAAACAAAAATACAAACGAGCTCTTTGTGTTTGATAAAAAATGAATCAGTACCATTTTATTGTCTCCCCAAGCAAAAATTTGTATGATCTTTCCGTATTGCTATGACAAATCGATACAAACCATGACTGATTATAGACAATAACAACAAGACCAACAGAAAATAAATGCTTAAATAAAAAACAATCGAATGTTGTTAAAAGGGTCCTACAAGATCACCTTATCGACGGCAAATCATGTTTTGTTAAAATTAGTGAATCAAACCAGAGAGTGAAGAATAAAAGATTTTCCTAACGGATTGAAACAAAAGTTAATGATATTAAATTTATTTACAACTACTTGTATTATAGAAAAGTCCATCTTACTGAATGTACCTGCATACAAGCACTAGCCCAAACGTTCTCTCAAGTTTTGTGCTAGGATTTTTCGCAAGTAAACCAAATACTCACCAAGAAAGTCAAGTACTTTTGTAAGCACTTGCTCCAGTAACTCGCAATTACCTAAGAGAAGTTCAACATGTTAATCGAAAATCTGACAAGTAATTCCACGTACTTGGACAACTAATTATCGAGTAACATTTTACAAAAATACTGGGCTAGTTTGTGTAACACTTGTCAAGTGCGTCCATGCACTGAGAGAAACTCACGAGTAAACAAATCTCCGCTTGAAAGTACATTCACTAGGGTAGAAATTTGGACTGACCTCTACTATGAACGTTGTCTCCTTGCTGCTTTTCTATAAAATTTTATTCTCAATTAAATGCAGAATATATACATTTCGACCGTCATCAAAATACTTTCGTGATTCGACCTTCACAGACCGTCATCTATCCTTTAACTAATCGCCGTCGTGACATGACATGACGTATTTAGAGAAAGAACAAATTTTATTGTCAAAATTCTGAGTCAGACGAGATTAGAAGAAGAATCATGTCTATTTTAAACTTGACTTCGTAGGCTGCGGAGCCAGTCTGCTCAGTAAGACTGAATTTCCTATAACTGGCCTCAGCAGGTATGTGGTAATTGATGAGTGTATTAGAAAATTTTTTGAGCCTCCTCGACGCCGCTTACACTTGGGTTTCCATAATATGTTAAACGTTGAAATGTCAACGTGGCTAAAACCGCGTGTGCATGCCATGCCAATTTTGTTTCTCGAAAAGCTGATTGGTAGTTTATATATATATACTATATAGATTATCTTACATGTATATAGATGAACGTGGCTTAACACGTGCCTGGACCTGTTTCTCAAACATGACTTAAATTATACATTCAGCTTAAGTCATAATTAAAGCGAAAAACATAAAAAGTTGTTAAGGTACGTCAAGAGAAACCTATATAATAGTCCTTTTGGAATTTTAAGACTTATGATACGGGGACTGACGGATTGTTGTACGATTAAAAAGTACAATCATTAGCGGATGCATATATGTTAGGCAAAATGAAATTGATTGAATGAATCTATTAAATTAAATAAAGTTTTTAATTAGAAAATTTGTGGCCTTTTTGGTTTTTTCTGGAATGCCGTAGTTTTCAAAATAAATGCATTTTACACTTCACAGTAGCGGCAAAATTAATTTATCTCGATAACTACTGCTTTCGAGACAAAACCAAAACCGCTAAAAAGTTTCTAATTACAAACTTTATTTAATTTAATAGATTCACCTAATGAATTTCATTTTACCTAACACATATTCAAAGTGCATAATCTGTTATAGAAATGATAAGTCATTAAGCGTCAATCCACATACCATTATTAACCTAAACGTTGAACTTTATATTATTTTCGCTTATGTTAGATGTTTTGTAAAGAACGTTCCGTGTACCCTTCACTATCGTAACTTTATATAGTCTGATCTCTCATAAACTTAAGTTTTTTAAAAAGTCTGCAGTCTTGGTTAAAGTTTCCTTTCTCCACAACATTTTGATGTAATCATCTAGTCTTTGTCAGTGAGGTCTGTGCATGAGTATAATGGCTGCTGCGGACCAATTATGACCAAGACACGACTGCAAGAAAATAATCAAGAAAGCATCAGCGATTAAAATGCTCTCATACAGAAAAACAGATATAATTTTAATGAAAATGTTTGCTTAATTAAATAGATTGAATTGATGTAAAAGGAATCTGACCATGCGTTTTTGAAAGCGCATTATTTTTGTTTGTTTCAAATAGAAGCATTCATTTTTCAGATTTTAATGTCGGTTGAAAACAGAATGATTGAACAAATGAGGGGAGGAACACAACAATATTCTGGACCTCCGCTACCACAACATTCCCAACCATTTCAATCACAACAAAATCACGTGCCGTCATTACCTCCATATATTCAAAATGGACCATCGTTGATGAGTAAGTATTGATATATTTCGTAATTAGATGAAGCTTATAATCAATCTTTTTCTTAGCACCACAGATGCAACAACAGCAACTTCGAACAATGGATATGTCATCTCTATCTAGCGCTTTGCCTCCATCACAAAATATTAGAGCCGCTGCTCCAATGCCAAATCAGTTCGGCCCACCACCAAATTTAGTTCCAGAAGCATTTCAACAACAACAACAACAAAGTCCTTCTCCTATCCCTCCTCAGTATCAACAACAGTCGACATTTCAAGGCCAAGCAAATCCATCCGTTTCAAATCAAAATCGAGTATCACCTCAAATTCCATCACATTTTCCACCTCAGCCTCCATCAAATCTTTCTGGACCGCCATCAGCTGCTTTTCCTCCTTACAAACAACCATTTCAAGTATCGCAAATACCTACATTTCAAAATCAGCAAACTCCACAAAGTCTTTCTGGACCCGTCGGTTATTCTCAGCAGCCGCCATTAATGCCACCTATTACAAATCAGCCGAATTTATCTGGACTGAATAGTTACCCAAACCAACCGTCTTCTATGCCTCCATTTTCTAATCAACAGTCAAATCTTTCTGGACCAACTTATTCTCAGCAACAACGATCACAAGCATATCCTCCGGGAATGCAACCAATTTCGAGCCAATCAAATTTGTCGGGTCCACCAGTACCTGGTATACAACAACAAAATGGATCTACGGGTTATCCAGGTAAGGACTTGTCTCCTCCTATCAAAATTTGAAAAACTGAATATTTTCCTTTTTGATCAGGTCAACCATCAGCTGGACCTCAGTTTCAGCAGTCACAACAACAACGTATCGATCCCGATATGATTCCGAATGTCGTAAGTTTCCAAAAGTCTTTTCTCTTACATAAATGAATATCTCCTTTTTGTTTAGGTTCAAGTACTCGAACAAATGCAAGAAAAAACTCAAGAACCGTTTATCACAAATACATTAGGTGTACTACCTCCACTAGTTGCTACAAATTTTATTTGTCAGGATCAAGGTGAATATCATAGTTGGTATTAGGCTAACATGATAGTCTATTATCTCGTATTTTCAGGTAGCTGCAATCCACGTTTCATTCGTGCAACAACATACAGTGTTCCAAACGCTGCAGATATGATTAAACAATCACATATACCAGTTGCTTTAGCTATATCGCCGTTAGCCAGTTTACGATCAGAAGAAGTAGGCATTTGTTTTTTTGATGATTAATTCATACTTATTACTATAGTTATTATCAAAAACGGATCTTTCTGATTCGGAGAATGGCCGAAAAAACGTGATTACAGAATATCAGGAACATGAGGATATAGTGCTCAACACTTCTATGTAGAACTCTTATCTTATCTGTCAGTAGTCTTCATTATCTGTATCATGTATACCTTATATGTCGTTTTTCTTTAGCTCGAACCTCCAATAACAAATTTCGGAGATATTGGCCCGGTTCGTTGTCACCGATGCAAAGCTTACATGTGTTCATTTATGCAATTTATTGATGGGGGAAAACGCTTTATTTGTGCATTTTGTAATCAGTGTACTGACGGTGAGAGAACAGAAAACATTTTTGAATGGTCTTATAGATACATCAACAACAATGAAGAATAAAAACATTTATGTCTAAGTTTTGCTGGGAAATATGATTTCGTTTCAGTTTATTTATCTTTCTGATGATATTTCAGTCTAATGATGAATATCAATTATACCATATAAACCGAAAACAACACATTTTACTATTTTCATACACATAAAAAACAGGAAAAGAAAATAATTATTTTACTTTTTTCAATATTCCAGCAATGAGCAAAAAGGAGAGAAATTTGAGTAAAATTGAATTGATCTATAGTTATGACGATGAATGAGTATCTGCTTCTCGTGCATTAAATGTAAAATGTGTAATTTTCTGTTTATATGGTATAATTAATATTCTCTGTTGAAATGAAATATAAAAAAGATAAATAAACTAAAACAAAATCATATTCTTCTGCGTAAAATTATTAGTTAAATTCAGAAATTGTTGCATAAGTGTAGAAAATGTTAAAATTATATATCTACAGCTTTTTCTTTAATTTTTTTCTCTAGTTGGAACAGAGTATTTTAATCATTTGGATCACAATGGACGAAGACTTGATTGGTATCAAAGACCAGAATTATGTCTCGGTTCATATGAAATATTAGCGACAAAACAATATTGCAAAGTATGGGTAGATGACATATTGCATAAAGTTGTCTATTTTTTTATAAATTGTGTTTTAGGATGAAAAATGGCCAGAAGCACCCGCATTTATATTTATGATTGATGTATCTTATAGCAGTGTACGAAGTGGATTACTACATTTTATTTGTCAAATATTAAAAGATGAATTATTGAATTATTTACCAAAGTATGTCAGTGTGCATCTAAGAGAGGTAGTTGTTACCTGATACTTCTACATTTTCTTTTATCAGAGACAAAAACGCTGAAACATCAACAGTTAGAGTTGGATTTGCCACATTCGACAAACAGTTACATTTTTATAATATTAAAGTATGTAGAAATGTCTAATCATTTTTTTATTCCTACAATAGTAGTTAGATGAATATACCTTATCATCGATTTCTTTCTTTTTCGTTGTTTCAGGGGGCAAGTAACTTAGATAAAATTATTTAGTTTTTGCTATTAGCACTTTTCTTAGAATTGATATAATTGATTTCAGAAAATAACTTCACTCTAACAAACATTTTATACTGTCGTATTTGTTTAAGTTTGTTCGCTTATCTAACGCTGATTTACCCTAAGATGGGCAAGTTCCTTGTTTTTCAGTCCGAGTCCAGTCTCACCCCTATAAACATCAGCACGAGACAAATTTTTTTCCCATTCGCTCCTATGATTACATGTTTTGTTTTGTATCTTTTTAGTCTGTTTGTTGTTTTCAGTCTGTTAGGCCCTCAGCCTCAGTCGAGTCACAGTCCGATTAAAAAAGCTTCTTAGTCCAGACTGGGACTTGTCCACCTCTGGAAATTACCCATGACAAAGATTTTGTGTATGTCAGAAAGCGAGGTCAATACAAACGTTATGAATAACTCTTGAACGAATATAGATGCAGACTTGCGGTATTCATCGTTCGAAAAAGAAACCGTGGCAGCATCTTTCCATAATCAAAACCACTTTCAAAATCGGGTTTCTCGGGGGCTCTTTAAAACAGAATTCCTCTGACTTCATTTTAAATCGTTTAGACATGGCACTGGGTTTCCTAGAAGCTCTATGATCGGTTCCAGATGATTTTTGACTACCTCAGAAAGGATACATTCTGTTTTATCTGCGCTGTAATCTTTCAACATGGTTCTCACCGTGTTATTGAGTTTTGTTCTGACAAAAAATATTATTACGAGATTCAGCGTGATCGATGACTTACACTTTCATCCAAATAAATTTTGTTTTGCAACCGCTTTTTCGTTACAGAAAAGCTCAAAGCTTGGGAATTTGAACTGATCCTTACTACACGCGCTCCTTACTACTTAACACAGTTGAGAATATATACGTCAGACGTCAATGAAATAATTCGGTGACGACGATTAGTAAGTGTCTGGGTAACCGCCACTGAAGATCGAATCACCGAATTATTTCTTGATTATGAAAAGATGTCGCCAAGATTTCTTTTTCGAATGATGAATACCGCAAGTCTACGTCTATCTTCGTTCAAGAATTATTCAAAACGTTTGTGTTGACCTCGTGTTCTGGAATCCGAAGTACTATTATATTTAACAGGAGTTTAGATGGTAAAACTTTTATAATTCTCTTTCTGAATTCTCTACTGCTACTGTTATGTTTTTAAATAACACATTCCTGATAGCTGTCCTGATCTTTAATATATTATTCGGTGTAAAAAGCTTCCTTAACTGGTTCTTCAAAACGACATTAATTTTTCTCAGAAAATACTAAATTTCGAATTTTAACACTATTACTAAGATCGCACCTTTTGACGATACACTTTTCACAAATCTATATAATATCTTACTCATGTAAAATATTGTTGTATAATCCTATGCTCTTTTACGTATATTATTTGCTAAACTTGCACTAATGTTTTGTTATGTTCTCTTCAGTATGCATAATGTAGGAAATTTATTGTAGTGTATGGTTTTCCTGTGCGTGCATGAGTACTTTCATTAAAAAAAGATAGTTTCACTTTTATTTTGATGACTGCATGTCAATGATAATAGCATCTCGTCGTAGTTAGTGCATGTTGTGGTTTTCTCATTGTGCATGTTGTTAAACTAATAAAATATCATACTTGTTTTTCTATAGTGAAAAATGTTAGTTTTTTGCTTTGATTATTTTTCTGTTGTAGAATACATTGGGTCAACCACAAATGATGATTGTATCAGATTTAGAAGAAGTGTTTATGCCATTATTAGATGGTTTTCTTGCATTACCAGACGAATCACGTAATGTTATTAACAGGTATAACTAATTTATATTTTAATCACTCTATTTAGCTAATAGCATTTTTCTATTATTTGTTTTTAGTTTATTAGATCAGATACCTCAAACATTTGCTCATACCCAAGAAACAGAAACTATATTAGGACCGGTTATACAAGCGGGAATTGAAGCCTTAAAAGTAATCATCTAATACTCAATTACTACTAGAAATCTTTTACTTTTGTTTCTACTGTTTCAGGGCGCTGGACGCGTTGGTAAACTATACATCTTTTCTACGACTTTACCGATTGCTGTTGCTCCCGGCAAATTAGTATGTGCTACAAAGTATTCAAATTATCTTAATCAATTTTTTTGTGCATATTCTAATTGTTTCAGGCCAATCGTGATGATAAAAAATTATTAGGCACCGACAAAGAGAAGGTAAAAATGAATTATTTCTGTTGTTTCATCTTATATTGAAACTATGTGTGTGAAAAAATTTTGCATATTTGTTTTAATATAATTTTTTCTTTCATGTAGATAATCTTAGCTCCCGTGAACAATTTTTATACAAAATTAGGCGAAGAATGTGCACAAAATGGGTGTGCAGTCGATTTATTTGTATTTCCAAATAACTATCTTGATTTAGCTACTATTGGAGAAGTTTGTCGAATATCTGGTGGACAAATGTATAAATTTAATTATTTTTCGGTTTGTATAATGTTTAAAAGAGTTTTAAATGTCAATCTCACTTTATGATATATTTTTTTCAGGTTGAAAACGATGGTGAGCGGTTATTAAATGAATTGAAAAGAAATTTTCAGCGTACTACAGTGTTTGATGCATTGATGCGTGTTCGAACTAGTACAGGTTTGTAGCCAGTCAATGAAGATTTATTTGAATGAGTTAGTTTATCTCTGTTAATCGATCTATGTTAGGAATTCGACCAATTGATTTTCTTGGAAATTTTTATATGACAAATGCAACTGAAATGACATTTGGTTCAATTGATTCTGATAAATCCGTATGTGTTGAGTTGAAACATGATGATAAACTTCCAACAGAAACGAATACATTTATACAAGTAACTAGCAATTGTAAAGAAAATAGTAATAAAAGTAATTGATTATTCTTGACTTTTTGTAGGTAGCATTATTATATACAAGTATATCTGGGCAAAGACGGTTACGTATTTTAACGTTGGGACTAACTGTTACGGCCGCATACACATCGTTGTATCCAGGATGTGACTTAGATGCAGTAATGAATTATACCGCAAAAGTTGGTTAGTAGATTTGAATGTGAAACAAGAACCATTCACTACTGCGTTTTCTAAAATTCCTTTCTTTTATTTGTTTAAGCAATTCGATCAATAACGATGTCCACATCTAAAAGTATTCGTGATAATATAGTTAATCAAGCTGCGAATATGTTAGCGTGTTATAGAAAAAATTGTGCTCAATCCACAACAGCTGGACAATTAATATTACCTGAAACATTAAAGCTTTTGCCGATTTATGTAACAGCATTAATCAAATGTGATGCATTAATTGGAAGTATGTCAAGACATGTGAAATATTAATTTGTTCAGAAATGTTGTTTTTCTATTTTAAGCTCAAACGGTGACAACAGACGATCGGAGTTGGCTCATTCACAAAATAATGGCCATGGATGTTAAATCAACATTTGCATACTTATATCCAAGAATATTTGCACTAGTAAATACAATCACTGTTCAAAATTTCTTATTAACTTTTCTGTTCTTTTAGCATAATATTGAAGAAGATACAATACCACCGATGATTCGTTGTTCATATGAACGTTTTTCAGAAACGGGCGCTTACGTACTTGGTGAGTCTATCATTTTAAATAATCCTTTTTTAAAGTAATCATTGCTTTTTACCCTTTGGCATATTATCGAGTTTTTTTTCTTCTCAAACAGAAAACGGTTTAGTAATGTATATATGGCTTGGTAGTCAAATAAATCCAACAGTTATCCAATGTTTATTTGGCGTTCCGTCACTCTCACAAGTTGAAGCAGAAAAGGTTTGTTATATTAAATTTTGTCTCACTAGTTTCTTTTTTCTATGATTTTTTTTCTCTATCTAGTGTAAAATTCTTGATCTCGATAATCAAATATCAAAAAATGTTCGAAATTTGTTAAATTATATTAGAAATGATAGAAATTCTCATCTAAAAGTAAGTGTTCACATAAATCTTTCGTTTTCATGCCAGTATGAAATAATCTCTCTCGTTTAGCTCTTTATTGTTCATCAACGGGATTCAATTGAACCATTTTTCAAAAATTATTTAATTGAAGATAAAGGTTTTACGGGTGGTGCATCTTACGTCGATTTTCTTTATCATTTACATCGAGAAATTCGAAATATTTTACAATGATAAAACATGTGTTTTAAGATCTAAAATAAATTCTGTTTTTGTTCTTTTTGAGAAAAGTGTTATGATCCTTAGAATATTTGTTTTTCTGTTTTTATTATTATTCTATTATTCTATCATTCGTATCATTATTACAAAACGATTCTTTTTTAAAAACTGTTTCTTTTCTATGTGCCGTTTGTTATTTTCACGCTACTGGCTGTTTGTTTGTTGTTTCTCTTTTTCTAACTCTGTTTTATGTTCAACAGGCATAGATAAATGAATTCGATGCTATTACTCTTGTTGTTATTTTCGTTTTCTTCTGTTTACACATTTATTTATTACAATAACAATATAAAACACAAGTACCCGATAAAATAGATTATCATTTCTTTTAAATCATTTTTAACATATCAAACTGCAAAAAGTAAAATTTTCAAAAATATCTCGTGCTTAGCATGAGAGACGTACATTTAAATGTTCTCTCTTGCCTGTGGGTTCAAGTAGCGGACATCTATTTATTTCCATTAGATTCAATAATTGATAGATAAACATTGATCTCATTTTGTGCTTGATGCGTAAATAATTCCTGTACAATATTAACGAATAATCATTGATTTTGCTCGAATTGCGCGGTGAACTTAAACAGAATATAATTCTTGTTTTTGTTTAACAGATGTTTTATTAAAGAACAGCAGACTTTCCTGTGATTGTTTCAATGAGGTAATAGCAGCGATTATGATAAAAATGATCTTTTCTTTTAGATGATCTTCTTCAGCAACAAATGCGACTTTTAATTGACTAGTTTCAACGTTTTCATGTTATATCCTTTCACAACATGTTTGTTCAAATTAAGGGGGGGGGGGGGATTTAGATTTTTCCCCATTTAGATTTTTCTCTAACGTTCCAAGTTTGTAGAGGACATTTCAAAGTATATATCCTGAAGTTTTTTCGGCTTACTGACATTATTTAAAAAAATATTGTTAAATTTTTGAACAAGGGATTATTATTAAAAAAATTCCTTTCCATCCTCCATTCATCACAAAAGCTTGGTTCTTGCCTAGATCGATAGAGAAATGTGTGGAGAATATTTATTACGAGAAAATATGCAAGAATTTTTGTTCTTTCCTTCCTGGTATTGACTAATTAGTACTAATTAACGTTAATTTAGCCTACTCTACTAGCATAAAGTCTTATTTGTAAAATAGCAACGCAACGAAAAAATTCAAGCAATACCTCATCTGACAGAGAATTTCACGGGCTATAATATGGACCACCTTAAACAATTTAGAATACGTTTTTGGTCGCTCGGTAAGTCTGGTAAATCGAAAATTTAACAATATTGTTTAAGTAATTAATTTTTTTCTCAGCCAAATAATTTCATTAAGCCGAAAAAACTTCCGAACATATACTTCGAAGAACTTTTTTAACCTAATATTACGGCTAATTTCGCCCGAACCAAGCATTTTGCCTCTTAAATTAAATTTTAGGGTTTTTAAAATTTTAAAATTTCGTATTTTTTAATTTAAAAATCAAAAACAAAAATTTCAAAAAAAGCTCTCGTCAGGGACACCAAAATTCGATTCTGAACAACTTTTGCACTCAGAATGCTTCGATCGAAACTAGCCGTAAGGCGAGGTGAAAAATACTTTTAGCTCTGAAGTTTCCTCGGAATGGCGAACGCTAAATTTCATTCGGGAACGATGAAAAGGGTTTCTCCGTATACAAATTAATGTTCTCTATCGAACTAGGCTAGAATCAACTCTTCATATCAAAAAATGAAGTTTTAAAAATAGGGCAAAAAACCCGAAAAAAACCTAAATTTTTTTTATCAAAAACTACAAATCCGGGAACCGAAAGCTTTGTTGGGACATATACTCCGAAATGTCCTCCACAAACTGCTGGGAAAAAACGGGTGGGGGATCTTCACTCGTCAGTCTACATAAACTGCACTGTGAGAAGATTACATTTTTAAAGATATGCACTTACCTAGACCATCAGTTGTTAATTTCATATCTACAGTAAAAAGGCTATAACCATTTGCACTATTCTTTTCACCAGACGCTAATTCTGATACCAAAGCCACATTTTTTCAATAACGATAATGAACTACTTTCTCCTTCGTGGCCAATCAAATGGGTTAAATAAGATTGGAGCAGAAAGTGAAACAAAAAAAGCGAAAAAAACAACACATACTAGCAAACAAAATAGAATAGTTTTTAATTATCTGACAAATATCAACGTTGGATCATTTTTCAAATTAATTCTAGTTTGAAACAATCAAAATTCTTCAAACTCAATTTTTGGGTAATCCCCAACTTTGACTGAATTAGAACGAACAAATCCTCCATCTGTATCCTGATATTCAAAATATCGTTGATCATCGATACTAGAATATCAAAAGAATTTAGCATGGTTTGATTGCAGGGCTTAAAAACATAATTACCTGCCATCGTTCTTTCCAATGGTTCATCGTATTTAATGCCGACTCAAACACCTGATTTGAATGAACTTCTCCTTAACAAAATGAAGCATGAATTACAAATAGTGAATTAGGCTCATCCTGTTCTTTACCTATAAACATGACGGTTCCTCATCTAATATGCTGATTCTGAACGGTTACTTTACAACTACAAAAAGAAAGATCTTATGAGATTTTTGTCGAAACAAAACCGATATACTTGTCGATTAAACAGAGATATTTTTTCAGCTGAATTTTTCCGATGCTCTTTTTCTGCTTCCAAATTATATCGACTGATTGTATGTTGTGAAAATCGACTAGTCTCAATTACTTCAACTGTCGACATGGTGATCTTTCTAAAAACAAGAAAAAACAAAAGTCATCGAACTTCACATAAACGCAGATTGATTCAAAAAATTTATTCGATACAACGCGAAAAATGCTATGTTCATTTTCTCTAGTTTTCAACAGAAAAAACTTGGAATTTTCAGTCACAATAGATCCAGTAAGACTGCAGGTGCACTTACACTTGTTTTCACCTCTCATACAATACCTGTGGAGATTTTTGATCGCTGAAATGGATGCTGCTGCCACCGCTCTCTGATGTTGTTGATACAGTTCTTAATTTAATTCTCATGTAATTGTTCACAATCCATTCTCCTAGTTTTCTACTAGACTGGAACTGATGACGACTAATTTTATCGAATAGAGCGAGGAAAAAATTCAATAATTTGGAGAGTATATCTCGACAAAATGCCAAATTTCAATCCGTTGAGATATTTCGGATGGTATCTCGACTATCAGATAAACGTTTTTTTACCAAACAAATATCCTTGTGGATGTTCTCCCATTGTGGAAGATGGTGATGTTCCAGATTTCTTTGTATTTTGACCTCGTACATTTGGATCAAAAACTATAGAATTTTTTGTCGATCTGACGATTGATCAAGCGAGTATTGCTTATTAATTCCCGATGTGGATAATATTATTTCACCAGTTCTATGTTCTAGATAATCAATACATGTCATTGTATCAGCGTCAACGGCATCAGTTATATGTGCGCTCTGGACCTAAAGACAAAAGAAAATATCAGTAATCAAATGAATCATCAAGTAATCCATCATCGGTTACTTACTAGTGCCACGAAACCATCAATCAGAATATCAACATATAGACCAGTTATTCCTTCTTTTTTTAACTTAGAAAATGTTACCAATAACGATTGGTATGAATATATTTTTGTATCAAGTTGAGCCAAATATAATGGATACAGTATTGCACTAATTCCGTAACAACACAGAGATGTAACATATCATTGAAATATCTTTCATGTCTCGATATTTCAACTTTCATTTTAATAATTTCACGTTCATGTTCAATAATTCGACGCGCTAAAGTCGAATTTTGTTGTTCGAATGTCACATTTTGAGAGTTTAATTGCTCAATTTCTTTTCTAAACTCTACTAAATCTTGTTTTAGTTGGTGGTCATTTAGACCATCCATGAAACTTTTCTTCTTGTTATGACACAAAAAAATACAGTTTTATGATTTTTTTGTCTTTTATATCTGAAGGAACGTGAATATAAAAGCAAGAGAAATAGAACTGAAGGAGCACAGCAAGTTATTACGGCACCTCTGTCAACCTATCTCCAGAAGTTTAAGTCTGCAAAGAAGGCATACTTTGGGAATGTTCATTCTGGACTGGAATTTGGTCGCCTGAATCCATCTTCTTTTTAGCAATATTCGCATCTATTACTTGTTGAATAGGATTCTGCTGATCCTGATGTTGGTGTTGATAGAGATAATCCAGCTGGCGAAGTTGTTCTAATGCCAGCTGTTCGTTGTTGACATTAATATTTGCTTGTTTCAATTCTAACAAATCGATGATATTAATCCTGTCAAAACTGTTATTTGTGGTAATACATTTGTTTCTAATTGTTGTTCAATAGCGGAACATCGATTTGTAGTAATTTTAGATTTCATTTCTAATTGAGTGAGTTTATCTAATACGGCTTGTTGCGAGATGTGAATTGCTTTTTCAATAAAATTTATGATCATATCGCTTTGAAAATCCGAATTTTTCGCTGATGATTTTGCATGTGTTGCTGTCATATTTCTCATTGGAGCTATTGATGCCATTGTGGATGAGAATAGATTAGCGGATGATGTGAATCATCTATTTGGTGGAATTACTGATGGTGTCATTGTTGTTTTGGACTTTTCCTCTTCCATTTTTTGGATTAGACTTTGTCTGTAATTGATTTTGTATGGACATTCCGGTGATCCGGCCATATGATTTCCTTTACAATTTGAATAACAAACTGCTTTTGCACATTGAGGATTATAGTCATGCTCCTCACCACATTTAAAACATTTATTTTTGTTTTTGCATTCGGTTGATCGATGGCCAAATTCTTGGCATTTAAAACATTTAATGAGATGTAGTAGAGGTTTATATGAGCTGGCATGATAACGAATAGAACTGAAATAAATATGATAATCATATAGAATTTTTTGTACTTGTTCATAGGAACGGAAGTTAGCTCGCATTCGTTCGGATGGACCGCCTGTTTTATCGAATATTCGTTGAACATACACGACGGAATGATAACTTTCATCAATACTTTGTTGAATTTCATCAATATTTCATTGTTTGGCTACATCATGAATAATGATCGAATAACATGTTGGTACTTGTTTTGGCACTTCAATTTCGAAGTTCTTTTCACATAACATTTTCGGCCATTTTTCATTCCTATGTAGTCCTTCGAATGTATATGTGTCATTAGCGAATATTAATAGAACATTCGATGTTTGCGTAAAACTTGAGTAACGTGCAAATGATAAATTTAATTTCGTATTAAACTTTATAAGTTCATTCAGCACTTTTATTTCGCTTGGTTTTTCCCCATTGTCAAATCGGATTTTGAATAGTGGAAACCTGAAACTTGTAGCATTTTTTGTTTTATTTTGTTGTCTATGATCTGCTGACGGTTTATACGTAAATGATTGATCCGCTGAATGTTGATTGTGCGATAAATGATAGAACGATCTATACAACTTTTGTGAATTTTGTAATGAGTTACTATTATGAAAGTACGAATGCACCGTGCTAGCTGGCTACACTTTGTTCATTTTCTCATTAGAACTCATTGTTGTGGCATTGAACTTTTTTCGTTGTCTTTGTTGTACTCGATATCCATCATTACTATTATCTTCAGGTCTTGACGAAAAATCAATTTTTGATGGATCAAAAACTTGTAATAGATATCCTTCACTTCCAATTCGCTTCATACCTTGAACCATTACATCATTCTGCATTTCTTTTTCATCGTCTGATGGTGAATCAACGTCCAATTTGTCATTGATGTCTGGTGGCACCGGTTCATTCAATGCCATATTGATGCTTTGAACAAAAGTTGGAGTTGAATAAATCAATACAAATTATGATATTCTTTGAAATGGTTGAGCTTCGTTTGTTAATGATATCACGTGACACGTCTGATCAGTACAAACTTGTTCGATCAATGACCACATATAACATCAAGCAAACGGTTATGTGCGAAAAGAGATATCTTCCTATTTTTTAGGTTCTTAATGTTCGATTTAAGTTTTGGAAAAATTGTCTCTTTGAAAACTTATACTGGATAAGATATACTTGTTACAAATCGCCTCCAAACGTTTTATGAAAACTCATGAGATAATATCTACTTTTTAGGTAAAAATACGTCATTCTCTGCGGTCTTTTCTATTAGTATTCCTAGAGCACTTTTGGACTACGTCAGACACAACTGTGCAATAAGCTAACAGTTGCGTATGAGTACTCGTCTTTGTGGTCAGGTGATGGCATTCGAGAAAAGAAACAGGAAATATTTATTATACTGCGATAATTAAAATCTATCTCATTCAAAAACTTATTCTCCATATGAAGGTTTTTTTTATTTTACGATTTGTTAAAATTCTATGCCAACTCATAGTCTCAGAGATTAACATCAATTTATCGGTATCTACAATAAATTCATATCTAGAGGGCAAGTCTTCTGGTAACAAATGCCCGTTGTTCTAGTTCAACTGAGGAGGTAGTGATACAATGACATCTGCTGGCATGAATGTATTTTGCTGTTGCTCGTTAATACGGAATATCACATCTGTTTATTATTAGACGCAATAGGAGTATGTTGCAATACACTGGCTTCGACGCGTTTTGGATTCTGGTTAGACTTTGATCTTGACAAGTCTTTGGTTTTTGATTAGAAAATTTCACCAGCCATATAGCCTGATAGAGCAAAGAATTCTGAACAAAATAAGATATCTCTCGGCTGTTTATAATGCTTTTCACCGCAACATTTTAATATTTTCACACCCTTTGTAGCCATTGGTAAATTGAGTAGAACTGGGCGGAAAAGGGTTATAGACAGCCGGGAGATATCTTATTTTGTTCACGATTCTTTGCTCTATCAGGCTATATGACTGGTGAAATTTTCTAATCAAAAACCAAAGACTTGGTTTTTTAGCGTTCAGATTTTTCAGAAACCCTATTATCAAGTTTTCTCATAAAATAGTGATATGCACCTCGCATGCAAATGTAAGAGAGAGCGAAACTACAAATATACAGTCAAAAATTCGAACCGATATGATGGCGCAGTAAAGAAATATACATATATGAATTTTCTCATATTTCGGTGTTTCAGCAGTTCGCACATAATGTCTCTTAGCGAACAGCCATTCAAACAAAAATGAAAAGCAATTAGTCTGTCTTGTAGCGCTTCAAAAACTCTACAAAACAGTGTATTTGGCTTTGCAGAACGCTGTTTCTTTCAGCGAGCAGAGCTTCAATACTTCGAAGTACTGAATGTGATTGTATGACGTAATCGCAGAACCTCGGGTATGTCTCAGAATCTTAAATACAGTCTATTCATCCCATATTTTAGAGCTGAGCATAAATCTTATGTTAAACTTTGGTTTTGAAGTAACTTGTTCCTGAAACCATTTATAAAAACTTTGTATAGACACCTTCAGAATGGTGCCTCTCGAGAATGTCATTAGGTCGATGACCACTTTGGCCCACTTTTTTTTTAATCGAATACTAGTTGAATAAGATTAGAAAGCATGTGGCAACGGTAATTGTCGATGTTTTTGTTTTTCTCATTATCATGCTAGACTAGGAGAATCTTGAGAGTAAAGAAAATCATATTCTATTGAACATGACAGTAGATGAAACTGTCTTTCATCAGCCATCGTCGATCGAAGTCTGTTTTTAACTAATTTCAAATAGCTAAGAAATCGTTCTTTCTTTTTACTTACATGTGCAAGAATGACCAATTTCATCTTCGAAATTAACTGAAAGAGTATTCTTTCTCTCAGTTATTTCAAATCTTCAGAGTCGAGAAAAAAATTCGGAGAACTTATAATATCGAAAAGCAGGAGGAGCGTACGCTCTCCCTATTTACCGACGCTAATTAATTAGTAACTTTTTCAATATACGTACCCGCCTCCATGTCTGTAACCGAAGTTTGTCGCCTCATCACTTGCTCATATTTGACAAATTCAACTGGTTGACCCAATGCATCACAAACTGCTACGCCAAGTAAAGCAGCTATTTTTTTCGACTGGAGAAATGCGTTTTCTTCTACACCGGGAGGGGGATCTAGAGTGACTTGATCTAATCGTTTTCCTTCAAAGGGTATTGATGAAGAGAGATCTTTGATGCGTCCAGTATCATCAGACATCCTTGATGAAGGTGTTTCTTGATTACCTATACTTTTGTTTCTTATTGCTTTTATGAAAAAGAAAAAAGACGCTGGAACACCCGATAATTTAACGAAAAATCAATATCAAGTGGCTATATTTTTCTACAACACAGTAATGACAAAAGAATTATTCTCCCTTTCGAAATATAGTGCGCTCTGTCATTTTCTAATAGTTTAGCAACGAAAACCGATAAAACACTCAGGTTTTGGCTTTTCTTCAGTAAAGTCTTGGTCTACCAACCAATCTATTTAGAAATTTTTCATAGTCAACAACTACTCTCTAAAAAAATTTTGTACCGTACAGAACCAAAAAAAGGGAGTATTTCAATGCTCCGACGGTCGTCGGGGAAAAACTTATATCTTATATTAGTAAGGCGCGCGTAATTCAAAGTTCATACACTATTTTATATTCGATCACACATCACTCAAAAGAGGAGGATGAGCTGAACAAGAATAACTTGGGTTCAGCCTTACTAGACCAAGTTTTCCGTTCAAAACATTAAAAATAATTGAAGAGCTTGAAAAACCGGAAAACCGTCACTCTTCGAAAAATGCCTACATTTTTTCTACATCTCAGTTTAAAGCTCCGAAACTTGTTTTTGTCTGATTCGGCATCGAAAATGGAATTTGAAAATCTATTTTACGAGCTTGTAGCCTAGAATTTGACCTAATAGAAGAATCATGTTACGGAGGGTTTAAAAATCGGGACCTTATTTCAAAAACTATCTACATTTTTTGTGAGGATATGGAACCCTGTGACATATGCCATTCGAACGGCCTTGATTCATACAACAAAAGTATAACTCCGGATTTTTGAAATTCCTCTCCGTCGCTGAGAAATTTCACTTTTTCTAAATCAGGAGCGAAAAAAAATCGGAATTGTGCCTGTATTTTTTCATTTTTTCGCTCCTCATTCAGAAAAAATGAAATTTATATATCGCAGGATTCCGGGACGAAACAAATGTAGGCATTTTTCGGGAACGGACGGTTTTCCGGTTTTCAAGCTTTTAAAGTATTTTCAATGTTTTGAACGGAAAACTAGGTATGGCAAGGCTGAAACCAAGTTATTCTTGTTCAGCTTGTCCTCCTCTTTCGAATGATGTATGATTCGATCAAATATAAAATAGCGTATGAACTTCGATTTACGCGCGCTTTAAACTAACGAAGAATCTTATATTAGTAAACT